ATACTTGTTTGTGCCAATTGATTATACTTGTAATCAATGTTGATCTGTGATCATGTGTTCTGACCAACCTGTACCAACGCTAACTTTTTTCAGAGTATAGCCAGTTGGCCACTGAATCTAATGGCCACTTATTACCCGATGTCTCTTTGACATATGAGTGCACTCTCTAACAGCCTTATGCCAGACTATCTTTCAGCCTAATGCAGATTGATTTGCTGGTCAAACAAATAACACATGGGCATTGTAGTATTGGATAACAGGGGCAACACAACAGGGGGCTAGTGGGGCTTGCCCCATCTCCTAGTTTTCAGCCCTGAGGAATTCTTGGCAATAGGAAGTGAGACTGACTTCAATACACAATGTTTTGACTTTTTATTCAGGTTTGGTTTCGACAGCAAAAGTGCAAAACAATGATGTACAAACTACAAAGCAAATAATGAATTGTACTTACTGTTTGCGAACTATCTTTGTTTTCTACTTGCTTTTCAACAGACTCATCGGCGTCGCTGTTTTCGTTGCCCGAACTATAAAGTTCATTCAAACGTGCTGAATAATATTCCGCCCAACGGCACAAATATAAAACAATCTTCGAATATGGTTTTCCGATTTCTTCCTTGTATCTTTGTAACGTGAACGGCTCATCAGAGCCAGGCAGCGACTCTGCTTTGGTCTTGTCCGCGTAAAGAAGACAATAGAATTTCTTTTCTTCATTCTTAATCACGTCTTTATTAAAAAACGATGGTGTTTTTCTGCTGCTTTTGTCAACAGATCGTCATATGAAATATTTGCAGCCACTGACAGAGGTAAAGTTGCGCTATTGCCCCTCTTAACCCGTAGACCTCCGTCTTTGTTTGTCATAATTCCAATTTGAATTTTGCATGTTAACACTTTTGAGGATGCTTTACCTTTGATGTCTAACTTAAACCTTTTCCCATTCTTTTTGGTGAAATGTTTTGCTCGATCTTCTTCCTTGTGTGCTCGAAATTGAGCAAAGGACATCCGCCCGGAAGTTGTTTCTGTTACTTTGGCGTCTCCCCCGCTGCTTTCGCCGTTTTCCTTTGGTGTACTTACTTCTTTGGCATTACTTTCACTCACTTTGCTTCCACAGTTATGACAATATTTTGCGTTGGACACGCGTGATTTACCACAGTTCGCACAAAACTCTGAAGGCCTTGCATAAAATTCTGAAGGCTCTTGTATAAAATTCTGAAGGCCCTACATAAAACTCCGAAGGCCTTGCATAAAATTCTGAAGGCCCTTGTATAAAATTCTGAAGGCCTTGCATAAAATTCAGAAAGGCCCTTGTATAAAATTCTGAAGTCTTTACGTACAATTCTGAAGGCCTTGCATAAAATTCTGAAGGCCCTTGTGTAAAATTCTGAAGGTCCTACATAAAACTCCGAAGGCCCTGCATAAAATTCTGAAGGCCTTAAATAAAATTCTGAAGGTTAAATTTTAAATTTATAGCATGTCCCCTATGGGCCACCGTACAATTGAAACTACGGCCCCCCGACCCGCGCGGCATAGCGGGGAATTTAACAAATCACCTTGTTAATCCCGGCACATTTCCCCCGCAGGGGCGGATCCAGGATTTTTCGTACGTTAGTCAAAGTTTTCGGATGTACAATCTAGTTTCGCGAGCGGCGAATGCGCGAGGCACCTAGGGGGGGGGGGTTGTCCCCCAGGAATTTTTATATTTTTAAACCTCAGAAACGCAATTTGCATCACTTTAAAGGAAGCTTCAACAAAAAATTAACTTCATGAAATGGGAGATAATTATAGCAACTATCAGTCTGACTGACTCTCACAACTCGCTCCTTAGGGAAAGTAAAGGAGAAGTACTTGCAGAAATGTGATAATTGTGGAAGATGTTTCATTTTATCAAATTACGGCCATTGCTAGTATTATGTTTAACTATCTCATGATAGTACTACACTAATTTTTGTTGCCTAATAGCCTTGTTGAATCATTGATCACTTGACTAGTAATCACTACAGTGTCATATTACTCAAACAAACATATATCAATATTAATAGCCTAAAGTCTTAACATTCATCGATAAAACCTGACCTTTATATCCTATGTATACTGCATTAATGCGTTTATATAGCCAGGTTATCCTCCATATTAATAGCCTTCTGAGTTCTGACGGTCCTTCAACCGCAGAATTACAAATATGCAAATTTGTTGTGTAAATCAAAATTCGTAGCTAAATCTAAATCAAGATACGCGTATTCAAGTTACAATTTTATATATGCATGGCGTGCATCTTGTTCGCTTATAAATATTGTTATGCTGTCTAAAACGAAATAAAATTTACATATCACATTAAATTTACCTTATTGCACTTCAGAATAAAGATCTCGGCGCCAATACTTCTACTCAAACAGTCAAACTGTAGTTCGTGCTATTCGTGGCGCTTACGCCGCTTAGCAACTGCTCACTGAATGGAACTCTCCGATATTTAGTGTTGATTTTCCTCCCAAGATCAGCGCAACAGTCTTGTAAGACAGCTAAATCATTCACCGCAAATGCGGATTGAACCGTTTCGTAAATACTACAAACCAATGAGCAGTAGACATTTCCGAATTTTCCGTAGATATCTTTAAATTGAATCTTTCGACAAAGCTCCAACATGACACTTCGAATGAGCGCGCGCTCGGAAAGAATTTACCACGCGTCAAATATTAATGATATTCCGACTAATGGGGCGTCCCTGACTTTTGTAAATCAGTCAGAACTCCCCACAGATCAGTCAAAATCGCAAAAATCGCTTGTTTCCATGGCAATAAGCGTCTAGACCAATCAGAACACTGGATTTTGACTTTTTTTTGCGTATGTCAGCTGCTCATTGACTTGACTAAGCTCGTCGGCTCAACCACTGTATGAAATTTGATCACTGGACTACAGTTCAATTGGAATGTTAATTGCTAGCGCTGCATGATAATAGATACTGGAGTATTATAAGGTGTCGCTGCATGATAAAAAATAACTGGACTATTGGTCGAATATTTAAGACTTTAATTAAGTTTGCAATTTTTACGTTAGTCGCGTGACTGGTTTGACGACCCCTAGATCCGCCCCTGTTCCCCCGCTACAGGTGGAAAAGTATTTGTTAAATGCCCGGTACCGGGGAACGTTTAATACAAACTTTAGTAAAATTATCAATAGACAATACACATCAAGGGAGCACGCCGGGTTTGAATTTGTCACTAACCTTTACATATATAAACAGTGTCTACCAGCGATAACTGTTTGTATTGATTCTGTATTCAAAGCGATATAAAATATTTTTAACTTTTTATTAAAAATAACTGTTTTGCAGCCATTTTGAATATAAAGCGGTATACTCCATAAATGTACCGCAGGCGCTTACGTTTATACGTTTATTTTATATAGTTTATTATTTAACAAATATAAAACATTTTCCGTGTTGATATACAGTTTTAGTATAATTACATAGGTGATTATTGAAAATTCTCCACGCTGATTGGTTACCGTTGAGGTGATTATTACGCGATAATCACCTAAGCGATTTTCAAAATGGCGGTGAAGCCGTTTTGTCAATTAAAAGACGAAGAAATGTGCATTTTTTTTACTTTTTCCAAATAATCACCTATGAAATTATACTAAAACAATTATTCACCTCAGGCTCGGTGATTATCGTGAATAAAAACCTCGACTTCGTCTCGGTTTTTATTCACCGATAATCACCTCGCCTTCGGTGAATAATTGTTAAATATCAACACGAGTGGAAATTGGTAAAACGAGAAATTGTGTGGAAACACGAAAATTTTTTCAAAATTCCGAGGTTGGAAAAAAGAAGGAAAATTTTTTCAAAATTCCGAGGTTGGAAAAAAAAATGAAATTTTTTTCAAAATGCCGAGGTTGGAAAAAAAAATGAAAATTGTTTCAAAATTCCGAGGTTGGAAAAAAAAAATGAAAATTTTTTCAAAATTCTGAGGTTGGAAAAAAAAATGAAAATTTTTCAATGAAAATATGTAAATTAAATTTTCTACATAAATTTAAATAAATTACGGAATATAATACATATAAAAACAACTTTTAAGAATGCAATCTAATTTATAGAAAAATACTCAAATATATTAAACGATGGATAAATCAACAGATGTTAATATCAACAAATTAAAAACTCACCTTCTGTGACTGCAACGAATCCGCCATATTGAATAGACGAGCAAGCGAACTCGTACCCAGGCCTCTACAGTCCTTTAGCCGAGCCAGACTAGTCCCAGGTCCTCTGTGCTCATTAATATGCAGAAACGCGCAATAGGCGAACTAAGAGGCCTAGGGACTAGGCTGTAGCCGAGCGTTAAATCCCCGCTATTTTTCCCCGGCAAATTATATTTTCGTTAAATACCCGGTAACCCCGGGAAATTGTAGCGTTAAACCACGGCCCTGACCGCGTTAATTCCCCGCTATGCCGCGGGGGTCGGGGGGGGGCGTAGTTTCAATTGACTAGTGCATAACCTGATCGATTTTAATCCGTATTTAGTTTGCAAATTGTAATAATGTAATGTTCGAACACATGTCGTTTCTTCAAGTGTGAACATTTTAATTCCCCTCACTTCACAAACCTCTCTTGCGCAATGTCCCCCCGTAATACGACATCTTACCGGACAGACAGAGCCCAGATCGAGATTGACTATACATAACTCCGCGAAAGAGACTGGGGCGAGTAAAAACAGGAAGCACGTCAAGAATAGGGTGCTGCCTGCGGCAGCAATGAATATCGCCTAAAAATATCACTTCTAATTACAAAATTATCAATTTCCCAACATATATATGTTAGGTATGTAATTATACGTAATACAAGCTTCAATTTAAGGTAAAATTCAACCACAAACAATTCACAAAACGTTTTAAAGTGTTCTTTAACATAAAACTAAACTGCCTTTAACTATTAAATGGCTTTATCGATAAACTTTGAGTTTGCAATAAAATGATTTCAAATTTTCGCTTGCAAATAACTTTGCTTTATTTTCTATTTAAAAATTTCAATATAATAAAAAAGGGAATCAATATTAAAGATACACTGAAATTATATGCTGTCTTGTTTAGTTGTTTCATATTAATATACGCAAAGGCCGTCGGGTTTTAAAGCCATTATAAAATCAATATTTAAAACAAACTTACCTTCGTTAACGTCGGCTCCCTTCTTTTAGCCGATTCTTTCGCCCTTTCTTTATGAGAAAACTCTTGAAATTTACAAAATCTTGCAAAAATGCGAGTAAAAAATTCATCAATCATCAAATCAAGAAATGTTTGCTATTTCGCTGTCGTCATGCAGTCGTTGTAATGCAAACTTTAAATTGGACCAATCAGTGTCCGTTATTCATGACAGTCCGCCATATTTTTGAGATCAGTGAGGATGACCACCCATCGTTGGTGACCGACGCCCGCGCTCATTGATGAACTTTAGACTTCGCTAATGCTTTCGTTTCCCCGGGTGTAAATAGCCGGGGGGAATTAGTACCCTCGCACGGCGGTTCGCGCCGCCGGCTCGGGGATTATATTGTCTTGAGCTTTTATACGACGCCACCACTCATCCCGCCTGGGCGGAACGGGAATCGCGAAATATGTTGCTAGGATCTCTAATCAGGACGCGAAATTCTCGTCTCTATATCAGCCGATATAAGATTTGAGCTTGCAGAATAAACTTGCTGTTTTCTCGTTCAGAAAACCCTGGTAATTTTTGAGCCGCCTTGTTTTTTTCTACAGGCAGGATATGAACTACAATATCCTGCATGCTAGCAGAGAGCCAGTAACATTGCAGAATAGCTTATTGTCCATATAATGAAGAATGAGCATGTTTTCTGAACATACACTGGCTTTAAACCGGCAGTGCATTTTCACCATTTTGTCCATATAAACACGCCATGACATTTTGTCCGCCTATATAGCTGGGATCATATACTGTATACAGCCCCTAAAATGCAAAATATGCTGACCATGCATCGATTTTATTGTATAAGTAATTGTATGATTTCGAGTGCAATTTGGAAAAACTATGCACGCGAATGAATTTTCCAAAGACGCTCAAAATTATAAGAGTCCAAAGGATAAGCAGAAAAACCATGCATACACTATTTATTAATAATATACATGAAAAATATATGCAGAAGCAAATTTGTAGTCACTTGCAGCATGAGACACATGCGAAATAAATAATTTAGCCATTCATTTGAATGGCACAATAACTTAATACAAGTTTACAACTTTAGAAATAAAAACTTAAATCAAAATGTCATCGTTTGGCACTGTATTTAATTTCTGTTGGCACCGTATTTCATTTTGTGGCAGTGGATTTCGTAAAATTGCACTCCTCTTAGCCAATTAGAATCGAGTAAATTTTTCATGTATATTATTATTTTGGAAAAATTATACTTATCTAGGAATTCACTATACGTATATGTTACATATTATAGCTATGTTATATATGTATTTATAGGTTATCATAAATATATATATATATATATATATATATATATATATATATATATATATATATATATATATATATATATATATAAATCCATCGCAAATCCTGGCTGTATGCATGGGCTTTAGGGCCGATTCAATTTGACAACAATAGTATTCTATCTAAGTAGCAGTTCAAATAAAGTGTACGGCACCTGGACCGTTCAATATCTGGCTTGATAGTGCTTCTAAATCCATAAAACATTTACACGCAAATACTGTATATTTTAAAAATCCGTCATGTTTGTTTACATTAGAATCCAAGCTTTCGCGGTTCACACGAAATATTACGTCGGTGATTTTCACCAATAATGAATAAGAAGGTAAGATCATCCAATTATTTCATCATTCGGAGCGAGAGGAAACTATATGGCACAAACGTGTCCCCAACTTCCTTATATGGCACAAATGTGTCCCCAAAATATTTTATCGAGGCCGTTATGTCACAAGATTCCTCACGTTCGGAACAGGTCAGGTGATACAGAACCCAAACAGCTGATTGGGTCAGCGAGTGACAACGCCCACTTTGATCCTATGTCGGTGATTTTCTATAATAATAATAGGGTAATATATTGTGTGAACCGCGAAAGCTAGGGTTCTAATGTAAATAAATATGGCGAATTTTGAAAATATACAGTATTTGGCATCACTATTTGCATAATTTGTAAATGTTTTATGGATTTAGAAGCACTGTCAAGCAAGACATTGAACAGTCCAGGTGCCGTACACTTCATTTTAATTGTTGTCATTGTCAAATTGAATTGGTCCTAAAGCCCGTGAGTATGTGCATTAGGATTATGACAAATTATTAAATCTTTCTAACTAAATACGGCAAACACTATGTGTTCCCATTGCCCTTTTCGCGCTCAGAGTTTAAGGTTTTAGCTGTATATATATATATATATATACATATATATATATATATATATATATATATATATATATATATATATATATATATATATATATATATATATATATATATATATATATATATACATTTATTTATATATTTATATATGTGTGTGTATATTTGCTTCATATGGCAGACGTTGTCAATGCTTAAAAAACCACAAATACTCTTTATAATAAATTCACTGCTACGTCAATTCATCTTCGTCTGGTCCAAACTTGAACACCTCTGCAGCTTTCTTTCTGTTGAAAAGGATCATAAGAAAACATAAAAATGGGTCAATTTCCAAATCAACCTAATTGTAACTATAATCCTAATCTCAATCCTAAGTGCCAACCCTAACCCTCTTAACTAAATTCTCCTAATTTTAACCGGTTAATCCAAAACCCGGCCTAATCGTTTTGACATTATTTTGAGAATATGGTAAGTCACCGATGAAAATGATTATCTTGTAAACATCCGCTTGTTGGCTCATTGACCTAGGGCGAAATTTTGAGTGCGAAGTGGGTGCTGCAGAAGCTATAGCAAGTATCTAACCAAATACATGAGGATGCAAAAATAATCCTTGACAAAAACCCGAAGCCCGTCCAACGTATTCCACAACCTAGACATTACCCATTTTCCTTGCCGCTGTTGACCATTTCATCCCCAAAACAAAGCTCAAGCGTTCTTTTACACCACCATACATCACCAAGGACTTACTTCACGCCATTAAGATGAAAGAGTCTCTAAGAAGAAAGGCAAAGGCTAAGAACTCGCCTGAACTTTGGAAGAAATTCCGCAAAACTCGGCAACACGTCAAGTGTTGGATAAATTCCAAGAAGAGAGAATATCTCTCTGGACTGTCCGAACATGTGTATAATAACCCTAAATCATTCTGGAGATTCTTTAAATGTAAATCCTCGAAATCTTCGATCCCAACTTTTTTCTGCAAAGGAAAAAGCGGATGGCTTTAACCAATTTTTTACGTCAGTTTTCACCTCCGACACAAGTTCTTCACCTCTTTTCACTTCCTCTAGTTCAGCTTCTAACTCTCTTCACTCATTAAATGTATCTGAATCTGATGTTCAGTCTTTTTTGTCCAATTTGTCACCCTCTAAGGCTACTGTTCCTGATGGTATTCCAGCTTACCATCTAAAGCGATGTTCTGAGGTAATTGCCCCTTCTTTGACTGCTCCCTTTGAGTTATCTCTTCAGCAGGGTGTTTTTCCTTCTGAATGGAAAGCCGCTAATGTCGTGCCTATACCCAAAAAGGGTGACACTCATGAGGTCACTAACTACAGACCAGTTTCCTTACTCTCTCAAGTCTCAAAAGTTCTCGAACGTTTAATTTTCAGTCAGGTTTCTTCTTTTGTTGAAAACTCCTTGTACGACCTTCAACATGGCTTTCGCTGTAAAAGGTCGTGTGTTACTCAACTTTTGAGTGTACTTCACGACCTTGGTCGTACACTTGACTCTGGAAAGGAAACAGACCTGATTTATCTCGACTTTGCTAAAGCGTTTGACTCGGTGTCCCATAGCAAACTTTTGTTCAAACTTAAATCGTTTGGCATCTCAGGTCCACTTCTTAACTGGTTTGCTGATCACCTTCGTGATCGCAAACAGTGTGTTGTCATTGAAGGAGCTTCCTCATCTTTTCTTAATGTTACCTCTGGGGTGCCACAAGGTAGTGTAATAGGTCCTCTTTTATTCATTCTTTATGTAAATGACCTTCCAGAGGTAACAAATAATAGTACCGTTGCACTTTTTGCTGATGACAGCAAGTGTTATCGTGCTATACGATCACCAGTTGATCGTGGTCTCCTTCAGCTTGACCTGGACGCTATGTCCAACTGGTCACTTAACTGGAAAATGAAATTTAATGTCTCCAAGACGCTCCTACTTAGGATATCCCGCAAACGTAACCCTCCAACTCATTGCTACTTTCTTAACAATGATCCAGTTAAGAGCATAGCTAACCAAGTAGACTTAGGTGTTGTTATCAGCAATGACCTAAAGTGGTCCCCTCACACCGCTTTTGCAAAAGCCAATCGTATGCTTGGTTTTCTTCGTAGGAATTGCACGCAAATGTCTGATATTCGCTGCCGTAGGCCTCTTTATCTTGCTCTCGTCCGATCTCATGTGTCTTATGGTAGTGAGATCTGGGCACCTCAAGGATCGTCACGTGATCTTGCGATCATCGAGGGTGTTGAAAGACGAGCTAGTAAATTTATCCTTCAGGATTATGAGTTGCCTTATCCTGAACGCCTTAAGAAGCTTAATCTATTACCAATATCCTACTGGCTGGAACTAAAGAATCTCGTCTTCTTTTCTAAATGTAAGCACGGTGTCTTCGACCTAGATATCTCTTCTTTCGTCACTTTTTCTTCAAACAGCTCGTCTCACACCCGTTCAAGTTCGGACAACTTGCTTCATGTTAATCATTGCAGGACTTCTCTCTTTAGGAACTCTTTTTTCAACCGAATTGTCTTTCTCTGGAATAGTCTCTCTCCCACCATTCGTAATAGTTCACCGTTTCCTCCTTTAAAAACAGACTAACTGTTGATTACTTTTCTCCCCTTTCATTGCGGCATCGAGGGCTCAGGATCGCCAATTTAGCTAGAACATGCTCACGACGATTATTAGGACCAATTCTACACAATCTCAATCAGAACGACTTTCGTGTTTAACTACGTTAGAAATCTTAGACGCTGTAATTGTGGGACGTATTTTATTATATTCATTGCGCATGCGCTTGAACTTTTCTGCGTTTTTCGATATATCGCTGAGCAAAATATCAGAGCAAAACATCTACAATCACTACACAAGAACAGACAGAGACTTACATCTACCCGGTAAGAGCAAAAATAAAGAAAGAAAACCAAAGACCAAAATACCAAGCTTTATATGTAATAGCCTTGAACAAGAACTTAAAAACGCTAGTCTTTTTATCAAACTTGCATATTACATATTACTTGTACTGAACAGACGTGCTGTACACTTTTAGAACTCTCTAGCTTTATCCTCCGATTTCAACTCTTTATTTTCTTCACCTTTCACTGCCTTCACCTCCAGATTCCTTCGGATTCTCGTAATTTCGCATACCTCCTGACTCTTCTAGATCTCTAATCTTACTACTGTATATCCAATTCACTTTAGATAACTCACATGCCTAGTTACTATTGTTGTAGTTTACAGAAGCATAGAATAGAACAAAAGTAACTATATATAAGCATCAGAATTATGTATCAGAGTTATTCACCAATGTAGATAATTCTAAAGCTTTGTTCTATCCTATGCTTCTGTACATTAGAACAATGATAATTATATAAGTATGTTAGTTGTCTAAAGTTGTGAATTGGGTATAAACAAACATTAGCCAAATTTGTCTGTTCTTATATAATATATAATATTATGTATCGTCATATCGTTGTTATGACGTCATGCTGAGGAAATATGAATACGAAATGTTGAAATGAGACCAAAACAATATGGCGCCACCTTCGGTCGTGGGAAGCAAATTTAAAAATATAAAGAATAAACAAATATTATCGAAATCAGTCACGAAAGGTTGTGAAACATTTATCGTATTTATGAAGGAAAAAAGGAAAGATTTTCTGCAAAATAGCAAAAAGAACTGATTATTATTTCGACGAATTGAACCAGGGGTTGAAACTTTAATTTTTTTTAGTCGCCCGAATGGCTATACAAGTGAATAAGACGAGGTTGCCGAAATAAATATCAGATTGCCCTATAGCTATATCAATGTGTTATGAAGTATTCTTTTTGGATATAGATAACAAAAAATTGTTTACTATGTTGGTAACATTTGTGTAAAAAAGAAAATGAAACTCTTCATCACAATAAAACGGTGATGTGGGTATCCTGGTTAAATATAAAGATAATAATAACAATACCTTAATAGTAATCGTTCACATTTCGGACATTTTCCTTTCGCGAAGCATTCACGATGATAGCATGAACCACAATCTAGAAAAACAGACATGCGTATATGTATATATAGCCTTTAAATGATAAGTGCCACACCATACGATATTACGGGTTCAAATTCCCGGGGACGGCCATTTTATGGATCAAGCAGATCAATAGATCTGGAAAAGATATTTTGTAATCCGTCCTATATATAAACGATTCTCCGAGAATTCTTGCTTCTTTTATCTGATACTCATTGCAAATGTACCAAACAAGGTATTTTTACTGCTATTTGTTGATTTTCGCATGGGTTAATATAAATACGATGACAAAGGCCGCGAAAGCATGGTATGACACTGATTTTGTAACAATATGGTTGAGCGATTGTCTTGTGGTCTGTGCCAGTGTATATAGGTGGTGCCAATAATAAGGAAGGGATGCAACTACCTGAAAAATACAGGGAGAACTTCGACGTTTCGAGCAAAGATCCTTCGCCTGGAAGTTAGTAGCGGGGGTCGGGAAAATTACATAAGCTTTTACTGACCTCAAAAGCTTTCTGTAAAATGTTTACCACTCAGTTTTTATAAAATAACATGTACAATAATTATAATAACATCATATAAATAGAGAATAATACATGGGTGCGCGGAAATACCAGATTTATTTCGAGTGTTGAACATGATACCAGTGAGCGCAGCGAACGAGTGAGATATCATGTTCAACACGAGAAATAAATCTGGTATTTTCAAGCACCCATGTATTTTTCTGTTTACTATTTTAACAAAATTCAGTGAAAAACAATAAAACGTCCGTGGCAATGCGTTTTACAACAAATGATATTTTCACACGTGAAAATATCGTATCTTTTACGTGTGTTTAAATACGATTTTTCTCAGCGGCCAAAAACTCTATATAACACTTATGCTTATATAATAATAGAACTTAAGGATCAGAGAGCTGGGAAGCGAGAGTTTGCATGAGAGCTTTCTCTCAAACGGGAACAACAGTTGCGTGACTGCCATATTACCCGTCCAACGAACAAAAACTCTCATCAACTCTCAAAGTTGATGAGAGTGCATTAGAGCCAATAACAGTTGGAGGTGAAATGCGAGCAAAAGTTGGAACTAGGGCTTTAAACAAGCCATTCCCATTGTTCAAAGAATGTAATGAACGGTACCTGGACATTGGCTACATCTTTTCACTTCAAATGGATAAATTATATCATCACCATTTTTACAGTACTCGCAAAAAAATCCTTTGGCCAGGCACAGCTGCCAAAAATAGAAATACAACATAAGAGATTATTCACCACTCTTTCAGAAAAGAAAAAGACAACCTCAGCTGCATGCCTCATTCAATTTCATACCTGACAGGATGAAACGTGATCCAGTGAACTGCTTGCCACTGTTTCAAGTCGTTCGCGAAATAAACCGCTTTTAACCTTAAAAAATAGAGCATCATATTATACACAATACCAGTGTACATCGTCCATCATATGTACAGCACCAGGAGTGATATACCTGTACAGGTATATCTTATCTGATTTTTTAAAACGTGTTAAAATTCTTTATAAGAGAGGTGCGAGAAGTTACCTGTATATATATTTATTACATGACAATGACAATGACGTGACTTGACCAAATAAGGTCATGAGGACACGAAAAATCTGAGAGCGGATTACACGATAAAAAGCCCTCGTCTAAACAGGTTTTTTGCCCTCGTCTAAACAGGTTTTTTCTGGGTTAGGAAGAAGCAAAAATCCGACTTTTTTGAGTGAAAAACAAATCACGGAGAAACACTAGGTCAAAGGCGACTCATGACTTGAATATAATGTTATGAACAAACAGTAATAAAACAACACTATAAAGCTTCAAAAGGAAAACAGCAATCAGAGGTATTTATTTCTTAAATTTGTTGAGCAAAACAGCACCAAAAATGCTATAAACAAAAGCTCAACCTCCCAAATGTATTTCAAGAAGTAGTTTTTCAACGAAAACAAATCATGACAACCTACTTGACAATTTTTGAAGTAATTGGACAGTTTGGACGTAAAATATTAGGTTAATTCATTTTTTAACAACTTTTAATCGGCATATTTCATATAATCAACTCAAAATTTGTGGCAGATAAAAATTTAATTGGTTAAGAAACTTGATTGACAGGTTTTCTTTTCTTGTGATATTTTATCCAATCAAATTCAAGAACGATAGCGTCAGTGTCAAGTTGTTCCTAATTTGGTATGCAACTTCGTAACCTGTTTCATGATGTTTGTTTTCATTACATCTGAAAATCTAAAATTTTTAGCCGTTTACAGCGCTAAACATATGCAAATCCTTCAAAAAAACATGCATGGAATCTATTTTTTCAGGTTTGTAATATAATAAAATATAATAAAAATAGGTACGCGCTGCGTACATGTGGGTAGCCTACATTAATAGACACTTCCCGAATTTGCTTGAGTGCACACGAAACAATAGCTTGGATTCCAAGCTATTGTTTCGTGTGCACTCAAGCAAATTCGGGAAGTGTCTATTGTTGTTAAAGCTGGAGTAATACGCGCAACAAGATTGCTGCAACAAAATTGCTGCAACAAAATTTCGGCAACAAAATCTGATTTCAACGCATTTTAAAGTAGAAATGCTGACGAAACATTTCAATTAACATGCGCAGAAATCAGATATTGTTGCAAGTTGCAGCAATTTTGTTGCCCATATTAGTATATTACTCCACCTTAATTGCTATTGTCAAATTCCGAATTTACTGAAAGAAAGTATTAAGTAAATTGAATACAGTTCAAATATTACACACACATTTAATCACATACTGAACATCAAATATGATAAAAATACGTAAACGACTGTTACGTGCATTTTTCAATAAGCATGAACAAATATAAGAAGTTACAAAGTATTTTAATATGTCGAAAATAATTTGCACACTGAACAGACAGAACAGTGCAAGATGTATACGAAACATATTACTTCACACGCCGAAATACAGACAGTACGAAAAACACTTAAAGCAAGAACAGTTCTTGTTCAAGAACAGCATACATCAAAGACAAAGGATCGGGTTTACAGACTGCGTATATACAATTTTCGTGAAGTTTGAGTTTCAAGGATAGTCCATGCAAAGATTTAAGGACGATGTTTTCCGGCGGAATTGAAAAAGATCAACATATTCTTTATTTAGCGATGATTGAATTAATTAAACAACGACATAATCGATCCCATAATCATTCACTTTTACGCAGATGACTCGCAATTATATCTCGCTTTTGAGTCAACCACTGAAGGAAAAGCGGGAGCACTGGTACAAATTGAAATGTGTGTAAAGGAGATTGATTTGTGGATGGTCAAAAATAAATTAAAATTGAATGGGGACAAAACTGAGTTACTAGTAATCAATGCACGAAATCGTTTTTGCCCTGCTGTACACCATATAGAAATATCTAAGTCAATAGTTCAACCAAGTACTTCAGCACGAAACATCGGTGTAACCTTCGATCAACACATGTCCATGGATAAACATATTACCAACATTTGCAAGAACTGTTTTTTCCATTTGAGAAAAATATCAAAATCAGATATCCAAACCCTAGTTCATGCCTTTATTACATCAAAACTGGATAATTGCAACTCTTTACTATACGGACTACCTAAATTTCTTATAGATCGGTTACAGAATGTGCAAAACTGTGCTGCTCGTCTGGTGACAGGAAGCAGAAAATACGACCATGTTACTCCATTAATGAAACAATTACATTGGCTCCCCATTAGTCAACGCATCATCTATAAAGTTGTTCTTATTACATATAAATCCCTGAATGGTGCTGCTCCACATTACATTAACAATATGCTAAAACCTTACACACCATCAGCAAATTTACGCTCTTCATCCAAGGGACTGCTCACAATACCCTCAGTAAAATTGGTTAACTATGGTGAACGATCGTTCTCATATGCGGCACCGAAACTGTGGAACGAACTACCAGAACATGTTAGAAAGAGTGAGACCTTGCCTATTTTTAAAACTAGATTAAAGACACATCTTTTTAATTAAACAGTGTTATGACTAAGTACTATTTTAACAAGTATTACCAATTTTATAGTATTTTATATAGTTTTTGTTGCATGCCCATATATGGGCATGCAACTTTCATATAGCTCTAAATTTCGTGTCGCGGTGTACGGGCGGTGGTAAATCACGTGACAGATTCGTATTAAAAATGCGACAAATACCGAGTTTTCCGACGAGCATTTTCATCTGAATATTGACTCCCGGCCGAAAATGTACATAATTGAGCGTCTTAGGAAAATAGATCGAGGTAGGTAAAGCTTTATCGTTTTTAATTTACCTTATAGTCTGTTATTTGTTGTTAGTTTGGAATCGTTGTGCTCGCACTGATTATTTATCAGCCGTGTAATATTTATGTCGTGAAGGCTATACGCTATCAAAATACTGAAATATTTTTATATATGCTCAAATTGAAACGGAGTCATTGTCCTCACAATGATTATATTGTGTGCAAAACTTCAAAAATACAGTACATTTTGTAAATAACATGAAATATATTAAAAATATCAAACAAAATTCTCATTAAGGCCACACAAAAAAATTACTTGTTTAGCGTCCACCCATTTTAATTTTCCTAGGTCGGGCGGGCGGATTTTTTTATTTTTTTTTCGTAAAATGCAACACAAAATTCTGCTAAATGCAGGAAATCCAGTATATTACCACAGTCAAAACTCACTTTAATTCTTTCAAAATCCGTTCATGTTTTTTAATACCGTTCATGTTTTTAATAAAACAGAAATGATTACCATCTGCGTACCTATTTTTTAATATTGTCAATATTTATAGCATAAAGTAATTTTATATTCATAATGAAAAGAACATATAGTAATTTTAGTATAGTTACTGTATGTATTACCAACCTTAGTATTATGCATGTACTTATATATAGTATATATTTTTAACACTTAATGTTAAGCGCCATTGAGCTACAGGAAATGGCGCTATATAAATGAGTAATAATAATAATAATAATAATAATAATCATATATATTGGTAATGACATTCAACTTGCTTTCAATATTCGACAAATATATCCCAAAGACTTCGTGCGCTAATATTCCACTGCCTAATCCTTGTGTAAACCGTGCTTGGCTTTCTATTTGCCTTAATTTACACATTCGACTAACCCGATTCCAATGACGCGTGGCCTTACAAACATTAGGGAGTTTACGATCTACGACGCGGCCGGCTCGACGACGCGCTTTCAAAACAAAGAAATTTGGTGTTTCCACAAACAATAGTATTATGTGTTTTATCTCCATGCAAACCTACAAAGAACTTACAAAGAAATTTGTCATGCAAGACAAAAACTATCAATAATTTGTGGTCCCATGAGTATTGTCAGCCGCGTTGTCATTCTCAACACAACGCTAAAAAAGCATTATTACGTCTTTCAGGCAACGCGAAAGCTTAATGCGACACAAGAGGTGTTACTAAAAGTCGAAATTACAGCAAACATTGCATCACTTTAGCCGTACGTAGCATTTTGTAAGGTTATTTGAAAGAGTCAAATATTTATCACAGTAATCAAATTGCTTAGCGCTCATTCTTGAGCTAAAATTTAGACCGCGTCGTTGAGCCGGCCGCGTCGCAGATCGTAAACTCCCTATTATGTAAGCAACGACATACTCGATTCTATATACCTATATGTTTGTCAACATTTCTTCGATATAGACTAACGTAAATATGTCCAATCATCGCGCGCTATATCATTAATTACTATATTTTTATAATACGTATAAAATGTTTGATCAAACTGATATGTCGTGTTTAAATATGACATCACACGATCTAAAACAGACCCCGTGCGCTAATATTAACCCCAATGACCCTTGTACAAGCTGTGATTATAAAAACAACAACATATTCGATTCTATATGCGTTGGAAATGACTATCGACCTGACAAAACATATTACAATAAAGACTTTACTAAGAATTTATACACATCTCTGTACAGTATGAGCGTTAGTGAACTTATCCTATGGTCTATAGACGGTTCGTATTTCAAGGATAAAAGGAACCGCGCAGCAGACACCGCGGACACGAAGGCTACAGAGCCACAGAGAAACAGAGCCACGGAAGATCGCGCTTCAGTCTCGCACATAGTAGTTAGCTGCGCATGCGCGACTACCCACAAAAATCCTATTAACATATAATCCTGCCGAGCATTTTACTCGTTTCTTGCATTTTTCCTCGCCTTTCAGGGCTTCAAAAAATACGTTCGAAACTCGTAAAATATTCGACCGGATTATATGTCAAACCATTCAATAAGATATGCAGTATGTACAGTATATACAGGTAACTTCTCGCACCTCTTTTATAAAGAATTTTATGACGTTTTAAAAAATGAGAAAAGACTTACATATGTCGGCAATATTGCATGGTGTGATCTCATTAGTTATTCATTGGCAAAAAAGAAAGAAGCGCGAATGATGACCAATCATTTTGTTTCCTTTTTCATCAACAATCAGAAATGGTAAGAACGTCTTCTAATATGTCAGTAACACCACAGTGGATATGTGGTGATCATGCCAATATGGCCACCTTAGGCTTCATTTATGCAAAGCAGATTCACTCTGTCAATCCTACTTTTGAAATCAATGACAGTCCGTAGCACGATAAACAATAGAGAGGTTTAGATTTGACTTCCACTCCCGCATACATTAAGAAACCACTAACCAATCAGATGCGTTTGATATATCCGACTAACCAATCAAATGCGTACTAAGTCAGTGAGAGGTAGTGTAAGTCAAATCTGAACCCTCTAAATAGTTTAACGATGCTGTTCGCAACTTACCTCTAAAAGGTCACGGATTGAATATAAATGGACATCATCCATAACATAACTTGGCAATGCAGTGATATGTTCCAACAACCTTATGGAAAGAGTGAAGATGTGTATTAAGTAGTGAGATAATATACTGTAATCACAACAATATACTGTAATGATACTGCGGGGTATTATACGTTGGGGTGGAGTGTTAAAGAAAAAGCTTGAATACAAAGTTGTATAAGAAGAGGCTATCAAATAACACTGTCTTGAAGTCCTCCGTCAAAAAAAAGTTTCCTCAATACCATGCCAGTCATGCATCTTTCCACTTTGACCGATCGTAACATAGTGTAGAAATTACGGGAACCACTGGGTATTTTAATTTAAATACAATATATTATAGTAACTCCGAAAACGGTAAACATTTTGAAAAGTGTTCAGTTACTCGACGTCTCGACTAGATTTTAGTCATCATCAGGAATGATGAAATTATTACATATCATTTGCCGAATAAACAATTTATGGAGCGTTTACACCGTTTTCGGAGTGTTTACCGTTTTCGGAGTTACTATTCCTTGTAGGTAACGTAGTGTGACATTTTCTTTTCTGTCAAAATTTATATTCACTCTAGTGCCCAGTTAGGCCTATAGGTATATATAATAGGATAGTTTCGTCTGTTTCGAGTGCAATTTGGATAAAACATGCACGAATGAGTTTTTCAAAGAGCATCCACATTGCACAAGTCCGAAGGACGAGTGCTATTTGAAGTCTTTGAAAAACTCACGAGTGCTTGTACGTTTTATCCAAATTTCACGAGAAATCGTCCTATTGCGTATTGATAATAAACATAAAAAATATTCGAGACAATTGTAGTTTTAATTTACGTTGATACAAAGAACTGTCCACTGACAAAGTTTATAGTCTTTTAAGCCTTTTACAAATGCAATGCGCTTCGAAGAATTTATTTAAGATCAAATCTTACTTTACAGCATATCGACAAGTTCGTAAAAATGACGCCAGGTGGTGAAGTTGAAGACGCAAATACTAAAACAAAATACAAAAACAATGAAAGTACAGATATTGACAGTTTTGCGCACTGAGCGACATCACTATCCTCTTGACAAGTAAAATCGTCTATGGGGTTGGACGTTGGAGAAAAATAATTAAGCGGGGGCGTAATAATAAAGTGGAGTGAAATAATAATGTGGGAGCATCAGGGCCTGCATAGATATCTTATATACACTAGATAGCTTTAATAATAACTTTAATAATAACATTTAATATCCATCTTTGGTTAAAAAAGTACAATGGATTTACAAGAAGTGCTAAGGTTAAAATTGATAAGAAGAAATTTTACTATTATTTACATCAATGTTGCTAAAAATGTTTATACTAGTTATATATTCTATAAAATTAATTTAGGACTGTTTTAAAAGGGATATAGCTCTAGGTATAAAGGATTGCCCGTGTCTTTTAGTATACGATACAACATATGGTAGATCATTTGTTGTTCTTAGATCGTGTTCATGGGTATAAGGTTGGGGGATAAGTTTATTACATGGTTTGGTCGGATCACTTAGAATTCTTTGGTATTCCTTAATAGTTAGGTGTGCCCTTCTTTGTTCCAGCGTTTCAAAGTTGCACCGAGATGTGCCGAGGATTTTGATGCATCTGTTTTGAATGCTCTCTATTTCATCAATGAGATATTGTGGTAAACCACCCCATATCGGAGCTGCATATTCTAAAACAGGTCTAATCTTGGATTCATAACATGTAATACCGACCTCACGAGGAAGATTCGCCCTACGGCATTCTCTCAGACTAAACATTCGTTTATTTGCTTTCCTTACAATGTTCTTAACATGACAGTTCCATTTCAAATTGTTTTGATGCCAGACACCCAACAGTTTATGAGAATTTACTCTTTCCACTACC